TCTTTTTTTTTTTTTTTTAACCAGAGGAACCACTTTCTTGTACTATTTTAAAAAATTACAGATTTTGTGGAAATGTTTGTTACTAGTTGGCCGGGTTTTGTTGTTTGGGGCAATGTTTTCATTGTGTTGGGAGCTAATAACGCCAATTCAACATGTGAGGCGGACCCATGTACTTTTTGAATTTCAGCTATAATAATTACTACCTAAGTGAATTTTACCCTTTAGTTGGAATCATTTAAAATGGAGAAGCTGGGAGGAGAGACGAAGAAAACACAGGGCTGCTTGAAATGTTGGCTCTGTGCTTTGTCCTCGTTCTGGAATTTATGTGTGCTTCTTTTCCTTTGGTGGAACACACACCTTCCAGTGGTGGGCTCCTTCCCTAGAGGCCTTGCCTGTGTAAGCAGGTCATTGGTTGCTTCCACACACAGATGACAACTCGGCAGGATGCTCCTGTTTGCCTTTTCTGTTGGTCATTTCAATTATAATTACATTTGAGTTGATAGAAAGTGGTTCTCAGCCTATTTTTTAAAATAAGAAACATGAGACCAACACATGCAGGTGTATATTCAATACCAGCTCTCTGGTGGGGAGTGTGGGGGACAAGAAAACCCTGATTTGTGGTGTTGGCTGATGATGTCCATGGTGTAAATATTCCTACCGTGGCTGACTGAAGGCCGTTGATAGATGTCACTGAGCACAGAGCTGGAAAGAAATGCCTGTTAACAAACTGTTATGTAATCCACCCACCTGACAAATACAGAAAAATTTAACTCCAGGACACAGAGAACAGGAAAATGAAGTAGGATAATTTAGAAGTGGTGAGTTTTAATATTATGACGCTTTTTTCAATATAACTTATTTAATGGTAAACTTTTATAGCGTAGTTTGTAACAATGGCCATGCTGAACAACTGGTTCTCACCGCTCCTGGAAATCTAGCTGTTGGTTCTAACACACTGACGGGGACCCACAGAAGTCACTGTCTTGCCCAAGGTCTACTGAGTTGGTTATGGCAGGATTAGTATGAACTTCTGAAAACCGAATTTCTCTGGAAAGATTTACTTATTAATGTTTCTTTTCTATTTGTTTAACTACATCCTCTACTGGTCTACGAAAGGATCTAGGATCATTACAGGCTGTTATTATCTTATCAAGACAATAGGAGTCAGAATATCTGAACGTAACTATAACCAAGGACAAGAAAGTGGAAAGCAGATTGGATTTGAGCCATACACAAATCCCTGCTTTGAGTATTGCTTGGCCTTACTACTCACTCGCAGAAGAATCTTAAGCAAGTCACTTACTTAATCCCCTGGCTTCCGCTCTCTGGTTGGTAAGATGAAAGAACTGGGCCATGTGAACATGTATTATCTCATGTAGGTCTAAAATCTCATGATTCATTTTTCGGATCCATCTGTTCAACAAATATTTGCTTAGTACCAACTCTATACACATCTGTTGCAGACTCTACTTCAGGTGGGATTAAACACAAATGTAAGAACGGTAACTGTTATTAGCACATCTCACATTTATGCAGAGCCTTCTCATTGACTAAGGAGGACATGTAGCCTGAGTCTCCAAGGTTCTATGGCTTCAGCAGGTCAGGACTCGTCCTCTCAGAATGTTAGGGAGAGAAGGACCTATTGTAAAAGAATAAACAGAACCTGACTCCTAGGAAACGCAAGAGGTCATAACAGGTAGTAATAAGGAATAAGAAACACGCATTTTTTTGTTGCCGTGTCTCTCAGTTGCTTCTCTTTGTCTTTAAAACCAAAAATTGTTTTTTTCTGATTATAAGATTAATTATTGTAGAAGATTTAGAAATTCTTAAGAAGTACTAAATAAGGGGAAAAAATACCACCTATCCAAATTTAATAGCTTGCTTTACTTTACCTAATATTTTAGTATATTTTCAAAGCATTGTCATAGATATATTGATTGCTGTACATAATTTTATCTTTTCAGTGTACAGAAACTTACATTGGTTACATTGTTGACTGTTTTTATTATTCTATAAAACTCTGATAAATAACTTTGTTTATATTAAATATTGAACATTGGATACAATTTCCAACTCTAATATTTAAAGTTTAGTAGACAATGTTAGCAAATCATAAACTTCTGACCTTTAGCTTATTTGATTCTTCCAATATTCCTTTGTATTTGCCTAGATTTTATTCTGTTTCTAAACAGTTCTTAAGAGGAATAGTTTGTCTGAATCCTTCAGTATGGTATATTTGAACTGGAAATAGTGCCAATGTTGCATATTATTTTAAATAGACATACAATAAAGTGTATGGTGAGTAACTTTTTCTTTCACTTTCTATGGGTAGTAGATTCTGGTAAGGATTTATTAGGTTAGAAAGTACTCAATATGTGTTCAATAAGTAAAAAGATTCAGGCTAGTTTAGGATAAGCAAAAACATTTGAGATGGATGTTATGGAAAAAAATAAAGACTTTCCCATTCAGGGTAATAGCTTTCATTTCATTAAGAGAGATGACAGCTTAGCACACAATTCAGGAATTCTGACTGCTAAATGAGAACTATGAAATGAAAAATATTGCTTTTATTCACCTATATGAGAAGCCATGACTAAGTGTTGTTTAATTAAATGTTAATGCGATCTTCTAAATTGACCCAACTCTTACTTTTATGAATTAGATATGTCAATTAAAATAAGACCAGCTCTGCCTTTCTTGAACATCTCTGAGTCAACATCTGCTCACAAGGGAACTTCTGTAACTAGCCCGGTTATTTAAATATTAATGGCTTCCATTAAAGGGGCCTGGAGGTTTGCAGCAGGAAGACTGAGAAATTAGATGGCATCATTAGTTTCTTGTTTCTGCCTCCAGGAAAAAACCTGCTTACTGGAAAAGCTTCTTCCACTATGGTTTTAATACCACAGATTTTTTTTCCTGGGTTAGAGTAAGATTGTTGATTTCAAACATTCCTTAAAAGTAACTGCTATTGAAACATCAGTGTAACAAATTCACATAATTTAAAAAAATTATTAATATTGTACTAGTCATTACCTGTGGCTTCTTGGGAACCTAATTTAGGTTTCTAAATTCATCTTGTTCTTTATTATAGTCAATAATAGGTGAAAGCATTTTTTAGCTACATACTGAAGATGATTGAGCAATTATGGGGAATTCTATTAAATTAACCATGAAAGACTTTACAAGGATTACATTTTCAATCCAATTCTAATTATACATTTTTATCTTGTTGGGGAAGTGTGGCTAAAAAGCTTTTTAAATTTGCTACCATTATTTTCATATTGTGCCAAATTGAGTCGTGGTAAACAGGTAGTTAATAGACTTTTGCCCATTTTGTGTCTTTAAGATGTTTTAATAGTTTGCTATTTTAAAGCACTAAATAGCAGGCATTATATTTGCATGGTTGCATATTTCTTTTTGCATCCAGTAATCTGAGTGGAGTCTTTATTCACTTCATATACTATACCTAGACTTTATTTATTTATTTATTTTTTAAATATATTTTATTGATTTTGTACAGAGAGGAAGGGAGAGAGATAGAGTTAGAAACATCGATGAGAGAGAGTCATCAATCAGCTGCCTCTTGCACACCCCCTACTGGGGATATGCCCGCAACCAAGGTACATGCCCTTGACTGGAATCGAACCCGGGACCCTTCAGTCCCCAAGCCGACGCTCTATCATTGAGCCAAACCGGTCCCGACCATATACTATACCTAGACTTTAGAGCTAAGAACTTGTACCATGCTTCAATAGCAGTGATGCCCAGTAAGTTACTAACTCTGATGTAGGCATCATAATACTTAACAGGTCAGAATTAAGGTGAAGCAAGTGAGGTATCTGCCTTTGGGTGTAACATGTAACAGTCCCCCAAAAACTCAGTAATCAAGATAAGTAGTACTTTAATATACTCTTGGGAGGAAAAATCAAAATCAATGCCAAAAAATCCATGGTGAACCAAATGTCAAAACTTTAGATAAAAAGATGTGATTTGACCCTCATCTCCACCTGACCCCAGTACTGACTCTGGCTGAGCTGTAGTTCTGACTTCTCCACTTTCATGCTTTGCACAAAGCACTCCTTGGAGTCAAATTATCTTATCTAATCATGATGGTGATAATCTCGCTTTCCTGGTGGAGTTATTAAGAGATTGGAATCGGCTGAAAATACAAGGGAAGGCTCACCGTAAATACAATTTGCATGTTTGTTTACAAGCTAGGGAAATCGCCATGCAATTTTAATCCCTTGCTATTATCAACCCAGATGAACACTCTTAGCAAACATCAGATTCGAATATCCTTGGAAAGCTTTGTGTTAGTAAAACTTAAGGCCTAACTCCTGAGTTTCTTTATCAGGGAGCTCTAGGGGCAGGGACCTAAAGATAAGTCTTCCTTCTTTCTTTTTATTCTTGGATGCAAAGTGTACTGATTTTTGTAAGCTATGGCAGAGGGAACCAGACATCCCATTTTGTTTATTTTAAATTTCCCTACAAAGTGCCCATGGCTCTTTTGCTCACACTCACCCACCCAACCGGGGATGCCTTTGCTCACACTCACCCACCCAACCGGGGATGCCTCCCCATTCCTCCTGCCTCCTGAGTTCACCCATCCCACTCCTGTTGTGGGCAGACCTAGAAAAGCCGTGGCAAAGTGGGGTGGGTGAACTACCCCTCATTTGGGGATCAGCCACTGAGCCCTTGTTGTCTTGAGGTGTTAATTAACTCCATTGAATTTACTTCCCAGGCCAGGGTTTTGTAAATATAAACTGTTTCTCCAGCTACATAGTAAATCCCTTGTGTAACCCCCTATTAGACAGTTAATTTCAGGGTGAGCAGGAATTGGATTTATTTTACTTAAGTGGTAGCAAAGGGCATTTACACACAGTTGTGTTTAGAGTGGGTAAATGGTGCATGTGTGTAAAAGGGTGAGGGAGATATTTACTCTTTTGATTCATTTGTGAAATGTTGTTTCCATCCTAGGCCTCGAGGAAATAGTTGGTGCCATGTGGAAGGTGACTGTCCTGTTGGTCCTGCTGGTGCTCTGCCCTGGTGGGGACGGGCTGTTCCGCTCCTTATACAGTAATGCCCTGGTTTCCCTGCCGAATAAGGGAGATGCAGGGCAGCCGTTACTTCTCAGTCCCTATGTTGAAGCTGGGAAATTCAAACAAGGTAAGTCTAACCAGGAAACCACTGGTGTACTTTCAGTAGTTCTTTTCCTTTTTTAAAAAAAATCAATTATCCTACAGGATCCAAAATATATTGTTATTTATTTATTTATTAATTTATTTATTTATTTTACTTAATGGGTTTATTTCAAATACGAATGCTTTTGTATCATCTATTATCAGAATTGTGAGCTAAAATGAGAGTGTGTCAGGCCATTTATCTGGTGGTGGAGTCCCTGCACTTCTGTTGATGAAACTAGAACAGTGTCTGTCTACCACTGGGCACTTAGTAAAGTTAATAAGAACCTTACAACTTACTATGTGTCAGTTCTGGGGGCCAAATATATACACTAATAAAAGAGAAATATGCAAATTGCTGTACCTTTGTGACACCCACTAGCCAATCAGGAGTGATTATGCAAATCAACCCAACAAAGATGGTGGGTTGATTTGTGTACACAGCCGCTGAGCGGCTGGGGGCAGGATGCCTGCATCATTGCATGGCGACAATGCAGGTGTTCCACACCATCCCAGCTGCTCTGGGTCTCTGGGCAGCATGGGGAGGCAGAAAGGTGGCTTTGGGCTGGAGCAAAGGCAGTGCTGGCAGATTATAAAAATGAGGCCCAGAGAAATTAAATCTCTTCCCCAGGGCTATTTAAACCTCATAAGTGGCAGAGCTGGAATAAAAACCTCTCTCTGCTGACTCCAGAGTCTGAAATAGGAACCACTGAACTATGTGACCAGCTCCAGACTGGAGGGCACTGGGCAGAATTGGGGTAAATAGAAAAGGGCCTGCACATACTGAATGAGGAAACAGCTTAAACAAAGACATAACTAGAAAGTGATGTCTGTATCAGACATCTGGTAGCATCAAGTGAGAAGACTGTAGAGAAATCCACCTGAGAGGTTGTCCACACCCCTCTCATTCCTGAATTTCTTGATTATGAACATTTCAGCTCTGGTCAAAGTAGCAAAGAAAGATTTTGAGGGAGAGTGTTTCGTGTTCTGTCCTTCTATGCCAGCCCTGATAGATCCTCATGCGATGAGTGATGAAATTTAAAATATTAAATCTAATGTAATGTCACTTTGTAATCTTCTGGAACACACTCAGAATCTCGAATGGAATTTTAAATGGTTAATCCAAAATCTGGTACATTTGGGCATTCAAATGCAACCCTGATAACATAATCAAGGGTACTTTTATTCATCTTCTTCAGTGAAAGTTCAGGAAACTCTCATTCTCCTAAATCTGTTTTGTTTATCGAGTCTGTCAAAACCTTAGGAACATGAGTCTTGATGCTGCAATGGAACATTTTGGAGATGAATAATCATTCACAAAAAAATGAGATACATTTTTTTTCATCCCCAATTAGCTGGCTTCATGTTATGTCATTGTAATTGCATGTTTACTTTCTCTGCAGCTAGACCAAATCCTAACTCTCTGAAACAAAATGAAGCTAGGAGGCAAATTTTAACATGTTCACAAACACATACTTAACATTTTCACAAATATTAAAGGCTCTCTTGCTATTAGGTCTCAATTTATCAGTACTGAGGGTCTGGTTGTGTCTCTGTACATCATGGTGATGGCCTGAGTCTTGGTGAATGTGAAGTCCACCCTGATTAGCTGGTTCATGCTATCTTTTTTAATGTGGTAGAATTACTAACCCTGGCAACCACGGTCCATAACAAGGAGGAAGTGAAATCGCTTCAAAGAGACCTTTTCCCTTTCTGTAACGGTTGGTTTTGAATGTTTGTGTTGTTGAGTCATGGTTCCAGGAAGAAAGAAATCTCTACGTCTTGGGGGTTTATTTTTCCACATTCCATTAATAGACTTGGAAGGATGAACAGAACACTTGAAAATATTTTTAAAAGTCATTTGAATTGAAAGAACTTTTTAAATTATTTACTGTGGTTTAGTTAAAGGAAGTTTAATATTTGAAACAGGGTGAACCACTTTTTTAAAATTTTTATTTATTTTATTTTTTTGTGGGCCAGAAAAACCTTTTCTCTACATTTCTGAAGATCTTAATAAGGCCTCTCTGCCCTCAAAGGCTTTTGTAGAAGGAAGCTAATTCTAGTGCATTATCAGTGCGGCTTGTTTTGTCATTCATTCATGCATTCACAGTCATTCATTAACAGTATGTATTGAGTGCCATAAGTGTATAAGTCAGCATGGTATGTCCCCAGGGGTACAAAGATAAACTAGACAAATTCCTTGCTTTCCCATAGCCCCTGATCTAGAAGGGCAGGTAGGAAATGAGCCTGAGTTAAGACAGGTAGTAGAGAAACCACTTGGGGTGCTCAGAAAGGGAGGCTGGCTGAGCCGAGTCATTTGCAGGACGGTGGACCTGCTGCAGGACTGCTCTCAAAAAGATGGATGATTCCACCGTCTCCTGTCCATCCTATATTTTCTCTTCTCCTCATTCTTCTTTAACGGTTCTCATTTTTTTCTCTGTCTTTTTTTCACAAAACCTCTCCTGCTTTCTTACCCCTCCTGATTCACACCTTTATTTATCCCCAACTCCTCATCTTCAGTTCTCTGCCCTCCTTTTTGGAGGGAGGTCTCTGATTTTCAGAAGAGTAACTAATCTTTATGAGAAACACTTGAAAAGTGTTTTTTAAGTACAAACTTTTAGTTATTGAAAAAAAATATATATCCTGGGGATGTAATGTACAGCAGTTAGTTAATGATATGGTAGGGCATGTTTGACAGTTGCTAAAAAAGTCCTCATGACAAGGAACAACATTGTATAGCTATGCAGTGATGGATGTTAATGAGATTGACTGTGATGGTCATTTTGCAATATACACAAATGTCCAATCACCAGGTTGCACATCTGAAACTAATACCATGTTATATTTCCATTTGAAAAATGGCCCCCAAACAAGTGTTTTAATGACTGCCCAACCCTGAAGGGTGACCTATCTTTAAGTGAATGGACAGGCCAGCAAAGAAGGGGAGAGGGAAGCTTGTCTGCAGGAGGGAAGGGTATGGCTGGAAGGAAGGCGCCCACCAATCATCTCCCTTTTCTTTTTTTCAAGTCCGTCTGTCTCCCTTTTTCTCTCTCTCCAGTGGGGAGGTAGGTCTCATTGGAAGAGGAGGAGCAGAGCTGGCGAGGTTGGATTAAGCGATCTTCGCTGGGGGACCTGGGCTGGGGCGGGCAGGGGAATGGTATGGATGCGTTTCCCTTTCAGGAGGCCGATCATTTGAAAAGGGAACCTGGGGCCCAGAGCAGTGGTGTCCTGGTGAAAGTTAACAGCCATCTCTGGGGCCAGGCCCTGATGGATCGCACGGATTCTCTGAGTGCACACATTCTCACTGTGGCTGCTGCTCCCTATCAGGGCTGTCCCTGAACACCCAGGAGGGAAGACATGCGAACCATCAGCACTGCGGGGCCTGAAGGCCCTGGGACCCACACAGGCAACTTTAGTCAATGGCTGTGTGAAGGATCAGGCTTCCTCTCCGATCCCATCCACTAACCAGTCTCAACTAAAATGTCTCAGACTTAAATGGCTCTCCCTGAGTTGTTTGTTTTTATCAGGAACACTTGCTTTGCCACCACCACAGGACTCTCTTTACCTAGACTTCCCCTTCCACTTCCCCACGCTGCCTGTCACCTACTTTCTGTTCCTTCTCCACTCCTTTCCTAATCTCTGCTTCCCCTTCCACTCACCTCTTATGACTAACTCTCCAGTGAGAGGCAGAGGAGAGGGTGGGAGAGGTTTAAACCTCAGCTTCCCTTGACTAGCTGTGTGACCTTGGGCAAGTCACTTAACCTGTCTGTGCTTGTGTTTTGTCACCTGGCAAGTGAGGATCATAATTATACCTGCCACTCAATGTACAGTGATCTTTTCAGTGTTAGCTCCTATCAGTATTATCTCCTCCTGGGCGGCCTTAACTATATGAACATTTCCTCCTCCCTTTCCTCCCTCACTGTCCTTGCCCCTTTGCTGCCATAAGACCTCTGCCCTCTACAACTGTCCCGTCGACTTAGTTGGCTCCCTCTGAACAGCAACCAGGCCCACCTCAGTCTCAGTGTCTGCCTTTCCACACCCTCTCCAGCCATCCTCAGCCATCCCGCCCCCACAGGCCTGGAAATGTCCCTTCGTGGCCAGGGCAGGCCTCGGCCTCCATGATGAGGGGAAGGTGCAGAATCCAGGCCTCCCAAGGCTGAGGGCTACGTGGCTAAGCTGTTCCTCTGGCATCAGGTGGCTTTCCTCTGCCCTCGCCCTCCAGGTACCCCTCGGCTTGCTTACCTTCCTCAAGTGGAACTGAAATTAGGTGATTGTTCTTTTAATCAAAATCTTATCATCACTTATAAATTATATTTGGGGATTTAAAAAAAAATCTGAAAGATGTCACTGTCCTTGGCTAAATTGTGTATGTAGATGATCAGAGCATGCTATGATTGCCTGCTGTGAGCTCCCTTCTGCCCACCCTCTTAGTCTCTCTGATCACTGCCTCCTAGACTTGTCCCCTGGGAGGAGCGGGTCCAGGTGGAGGTGGCTAACCCTGTATCATCTCTCTAATCCTTGGGTAAATTTTTCTCTCACTAGGGAGACAATTAAGTGCGGTGGCTCCTTTCCCAGGACAGAATGCGGAGAGCTACGCCGGCTTCCTCACTGTGAACAGCACTTACAACAGCAACCTCTTCTTCTGGTTCTTCCCAGCCCTGGTAAGCCTGCGCCAGCGCCCTAAGGGAGCTGCCACTCCAGAGCGGCCGTGCTCCCTCCAGGGTAGAAATGTTAACCTACAACTCAACGAAGAGTTGTGGGCTTAAAAAAAAAAATTTTTTTTTCTTCTAAAAATAAGTGACTGTGTAAGGTGTTCCTGTTTATGGGCGGGAAACAAATGTTTGCAGAGAGGTCCAGCTTTTAAGGTCCCGCAGCCTTATCAGGAATATTAATCCTGCCACCTCTTCCTGCCGCCGCCTTCTTCCTATCTCTTTGTTGTTTTGTTCTAAAAAAAAAAATACCCGGGAAGCCAAGGAGGATAAGGAGTGGGGAGACTCCTGAAGTTCACAGGTAATGCACACAAGCATGGCTGACTGTGGTTGATTGTGGTCTTGGATGGTTGTCTTCTCTGTGGGTTTTGCTAGGCCAGTGGTGGGCAAACTGCGGCTCGCGAGCCACATGCTGCTCTTTGGCCCCTTGAGTGTGGCTCTTCCACAAAATACTGCATGCAGGCACGCAAGTACAGTGGGCTGAAACTTCGTGGCCCATGCACAGAAGTCAGTTTTCGGCTCTCCAAAGAAATTTCAATCGTTGTACTGTTGATATTTGGTTCTGTTGACTAATGAGTTTGCCGACCACTGTGCTAGGCCAATTAATATTCCTACACTCACTCCTTCGTGACTTCAGTACCCATGAATTCAGCAGTACTCTGTGAAGACACAGGAGAAGAAACTAAACCCATCTACTCTGGACCTCTGGGAGAGGGGTGGCAGATTGTGGTGATCTAGGTTGGCTTTCTGGACAAGGGGTCCACTCACCCTCTCAAGACCATAATAGACACAAGTAGGTATATCCTTGTACTTTACCAATTCTAATAAGCTTACTTCAAGGTCACATAGTCCTTCAGCATAAACAAATCACGTTAGGCTTCTGGGCACTGTTGGGGGTACTGGTAGAGGTGCTGAGATGCATAAATGAATGCTCTCCCACTGCAGTGTAATTTTCTATTTTTATTTTCCAAATTGGATTTGCTTTAGAAGGCAGAGAAAACAATGAAAAAGCTGTCCCTATGGAGGGTCGTATTTATATTTGCATATGATTTGCATATAGCAGTGCTGCAGGTATAATTACTGGGTAAATTGCTTAATCCAGGGTGGTTTTCAAATTAAATTGCTTCTATTGGTATTGTTGGGTTGTATTTTTAAAATCTATTTTATTGATTTTTAAAGAGAGGAAGGGGGAGACATAGAGAGGTAGAAACATCAGTGAGAGAGAAACATCATCCAACAGCTGCCTCTGGCATGCCCACTTCTGTGTATTGAGCCCAGAACCCGGGCATGTGCCCTGACCAGGATTCAAACCAAAATATCTTGGTTCCTGAGTCAACATTCAATCACTGAGTCAGACCGGCATTCTCTAGACTTCTCATTTCTGCTTTCCCAAACATGGCTTCTGATGGAATTCACCACCTAATTGTGGGTCAGAGGAGGCATGTAAGAAATGGTGAAGAATTCTAGACACTTTTAGGGAGTCCTTTGGCTGTCATCTACTCTGGAAAGTCTTTCCTGGACCCTAGAGAGTTCTGTATCTCTTCCTTGGTGTTACCGTAGAGTGAGGCAGGTGAGGAAACTAGAGCACAAGATCTAAGGAGGGATTCACTCATGGGATTGAACAGGTACAAGCTGGTTGTCCTCCAGATTCCTGCTGGTCCATCCCATTGGTGGAACCAAACTGGAACCAGAGGGCGAGGAAGTTTGTCCATAGAGATCTGCCTTCCAGGCCACAGAGCAGAGAATAGACTTTCAAAGTAAATCAGGAAAACATGCAAATACCCAGCACATCTATCTTAGGGAGAATTGATAGAGAGTAAGCCTAGAAATATGACCTAATCTAACGGGTGGAAATTATCCATGTGTTCTTGGAAGTCTCTTATTAAACTTTACACCTTTTAGAAGCCATAATGCACAATCGTGTTTTAATATCACATTTGTTAATATAATTAAGCACAGACATTTATCGTGTCTTCCATTTGTCTTCTATCACTGCTGTACAAATGATCACAAACGTGGTGGCTTACACAGCACACATGCATCGTTTCACAGTTCGGGAGGCCAGCAGTCTGACAGTTCTCACTGGGCTAAAATCAAGGTGTTGGCAGGGCTGCGGTGCTTCCGGAGGCTCCAGGGAGAGTCTGTTTGCTTGCCTTTTGCGGTTTCTGGAAGCTGCCTGCTGCCTGCCGCCTGCTTTGGTAGGTTGAGGCCTCACATGCATTGCTCTGGCTGACTCCACAGTCACTTTGCCTTCTCCGACTCTTGTCTTTTGCCTCCTTCTGCTACACTGAAGGACTTTTCTGATTACACTGTGCTCACCTGGGTAATCCCAGGAACTCTCCCTATTTGCAAGTCAGTTGACCAACTACCTTGATTCCATCTGCAATGGTTATTCCCCTTGGCCATGGGGTGAATGGGTTTGGGGGATTAGGGTGTGGATATCTTTGGTGATATCTCAGTCTTCTTTGTAAAATAAATGCTTGAAAAGTTTGCCTCAATGTGTTCTCAATGATTCCCACACTTCATTATATTTGAGAATTATCTCCAAATCCCCCCTGGCCACCCCCCTCTCCCCCAACAATTGTGACCTAAAATTGGGAGAATTAACAGGCAGAATATGCTTGAGAAATCATCACTCTAACCTATGGACCTTCCCCCTGTGTTCAGTGATCCTGACCCCAAAGTGGCTCATACTTCTTTTCTCCAGAAACTTCTAGAGCAGGCAAACCCAGATACAGGTGACACTGTCCCCTGAATGCCCCCGGGGATGAGGGCTGGAATGGGGGACTCAGGAGGCAAGTGCAGTCTGTGGGGATCAGCTCCCCTAATCCTGCTTGGTTTTTCTCTGAAGCCTGTTGCTCCTCAGCCTCCACTGCACTCCCTGTGCCTCCACCCCCTCCCTCACCCCCACCTCCACCTCAGCCCTGGCCCCAAAAACCTCATTCCTTACTTCCTCTTCTGCTTTGTGGCTGCTTTTGATACCAGGAAGTTCCTCAATGACTTCTGCATAGTGAGTCTTCTCTAATAATGATCCTGAACGGTGGGGGAAGTGATCTTTTGTCTTGAAAACAAAACAAAGACCCAGTCTTCTCTTTCTTAGGTTGCCTCTTGGGTCGCCTCTTAGGTCTTAGGGCGACCAGCTTTGTCCACAGTGCAGGTGCCACAGGGGGCGGGAAAGCTGGTTAGGAACATGGGCTTAGGTCCTGCACCATCTCCTGGTTTCGAGACTGAGCTCTGAAACCCCCACCCCCTGCATGACACAATGGCTGAGCTGTTGGGGTTCCCCCCTTAATTAAATGAAGACCTAGCTGTGCATCTCCTGACCAGATTCTGTTTTGGGGGACCAGTCATGTTGCCCTAAACACGTTCAAGATGATCCCAGAGTACAAAAGGCACAAGGCATTGCCATGCCTGGAAGGAAGACACAGAAGCATAGTGTCCTATTAGACACGATATACCAAGCTTCAGGGGAGAGGCAGAGATGAAAAGACAGTGTCGCTGACCGCTATCACCTCAAGGCATCCGGGATAGATTGTTCCAAGACCTCCTGAGGGGCGGGGGGCAGGGAGGATCCACCTGCAGAGCCCCTTCTCTGAGGCCCCAGAGCAACCATTCCAGCCCAGTCAGTTGGGTTATAAATTATGGAACCAGCCAGTTTGGGTGAAGGAGATAAAGCATACGGGAAGGAAAAACAGTGGTCACCCAGATGGGGAAGAGTTCCTTTTATTTGGCAGAAATATTAATCCGTTGCCTGTCTTGGGGAAGCAGCTGATATTGTCATCAAGAGAGAAATGACCCCTTAGAAAAACTGGAGGTAGAGAAAATAAGAGATCCAGGAAGGATGCCACATTTGTAATATCCTCCAAGTAATTTTTTTTGGGCTGCTGTTTCTCAAATTAGTTTTGTTTTCCTGTTATTTCTGCGAGACTCCTCTGTTATTGTATACAAATCAGGTCATAATGGAATCTAGGACTGGAAAATGGTGTGCAGTGGGGTTGCACTCTGCAAGCGAAATGAATAGGCATTTTGCATGAGGAAAAAGTATAATGAAGCCAATAAAAATGTAACAATTATGATGGATGTTGTTAATTGAACATTGACTCTGTGCTGAACACTGTGCATTTTTAAAAATTTAATCCTTTCAAGAACCACCCGAGGAAGGAAATATTATCCTCATTTTGTAGATGAAAAGGTTACAGAGACTAAATAATTAGTCTCCTATTGCCCATCAAGAAGTTGGCAGAACTGGAATTTAAAACTAGATCTGGGACAGAGGGATCTTTGCTCTTGATGGTCAGGCAGTGATCCTGAGAAAACCAAACCAGAAGACACTTGAGTTAGTCAAGCAGGCATAAAATCTTGACTCTACTCCTTGGGCCAAATACGACCTTGGGCACGTTTTTTAAAAAAAACAAAACTTCTTTGAGCATTGGTTGTTTTGTTTGTTTTGTTTAAAAATGAAGACCAAAATATCTCCTTGACAATGGTTTTGAGACCAATGAGATAATGTTGGAAAGCCCTTACATTGGTGCCTGATTCATAGTAAGTAAAGTTGCTGTTGTTACAATTTTATTATTATCATCATTATCTTTATTAGTTTTCTCATTATTAGCACAATTTGGGAGGTTAAAGGAGACAAACCCCCATATGGGAGGACGTGGGACCTCCACCAACCTGGGATGAAGTTCTTCTAGCCCAAGTGGAGCTTTCAAGAGAAAGCAGCCCTGGCTCATAATTTGATTGCAACCTCATGAAAGACCCTGAGCCAGAGCTGTCCAGCCAGATACCCCCCGAATTCCTGACCCACAGAAAACAGGAGAGATAATAAGTGATTATTGTCTTAAGCACTAAGTTCTGGAGACATGTTACACAGCATTAGATACTAATACAGTCTCTTGTCTTTTGGGCTGTGACTGGACATCTTGGAACAACTAGAACTTCCAGAGTGGTGA